CAACCTTTTCCCAAGTCAGATTCACAGTTAAAGAAAAACCAAAGGTGAACTCAAGTGCTCATTTCTCTCTCTGATCAGAAATACCTGATGATCTCTGAAATGTAGCAAACTGTCCCCACCTTACCATGTTCAACTGAATTTCATCATGCACTTGCAAGATACTAGATGGGACTTGAATAGTCAACATTTCACAATAGTGGAGAAGGGGAAAAAAATCTCAACTACACAAAACTCAGGTGTATATACACATACAAACCTCTGTTTTCCTGAGATTTCAATCCAATCCACTGAATTAGAAGGTCCAATAAGCATCTGAAATTTCTTATACTTATCTGATCAAGGTCTCCAAAACCCTGCCACACATCACAATTTTTGTCATCAAATTGATTCAAACAAAGCAGTGACTGATTTGGTCTACTGCTTTTTAAGGCCTATCAAAATTATTTCTTGATTGCAAAACAGGTATAGATTATAGCTGGTAAACACTTGAGAGTGTTGATTTATTGGTTCATTGGTGTCTGAAAGCATGGCCCAAAGGCTTCCCTTGCAAACCTTTAGAGTGCAACTCCTATTTATTAATGATTATTGCACTCTTTAGTAAGTGGGAAAAAGATCAAGCAGTCGATTCAGCTGACTATACTTAAATCTGCTAAACCAAGAACAAGTGCTGCAGCTGGTCCATTACTGCCACGCAGGAACAGTTTGGGGTAAATTAATTCACTTCTGACAAATCTATCGCTTCTAATTCTATCCACAGAAGTACCTGAACACCTTCCATTTCCTTTCTAGGTTACCATCGAATCCTGTTTCACCTGAACTACTAAATCCCTTTCTAGTTATTGCTCCTCCCAGGTCCTTCTATGCTCATTCTGTGTAACAACAAGGCTTAGTATTACAGAAAGGGAAAAAAATAACCCCATACATTTTTCCAAGTGATTCTCCGTGCCCAAACTCTCACAAGGTCTCATTTTAGCAGATAAATGTATACTTGCAAAGAAAACAACAGAATTAACCATAAAGAATAGTATAGATCTATAGTCCCTCCCCACATTCAACACAGAGACACTTGTAATGAACAGACTTTCTGAAGGAAAGTTATCATTTTCCAATTGCAGTGCAATCATACACTTGAAACATTATTTTTGTTTTATTAGATGCTTCTCTGTCTGATGTGACAAGAAGGTAATGACTATTCCTTTCTCCAATCCCAAATCTGGCGTTTGTCCCAGCAGTAGAGGAAGGGGACTGACAGTGTAGAACTACACTTTCCCATCCATGTGCAAATCCTACCACAGTGACTTAATTTTCGTGAAATATACAAGAACCTATTTTCTACGTTCACTGATAGGTGTCTGACAGTAATAAATGCAGGCTACTATTTGGACAAACTTGCCATAATTATTTCTAGATGCTAACACATTCCACTAAATATTCCTACAGTACCGCCAGTGTAAACACTAATGAAACACCCAGGGCAGGCATCATTATCACTCATGTGATGCCATGGGAATATGCAGGAGAGCAAACATTGCCCTCCCACAAACCCTTCTCTCCCATCCTTTACAGGATTCCTGTGCTTTTACATCAGCTGATAAAACAACTTTTAATCATCTGCATTGGCATACGCAGGCACACAGTACATTTTGAGCCTGCATTTTTGGCAATACATCCTAAAATTTAGCAACAGCCAAGGCTGTGATTCATAGGCCATAAGATCACAAATAACTACACAGATACTTTCCACTTTTAATCCAGTATCACATCTAATCTGCACATAGAACAGTTCAAAGAATATGTCTTGCCCACTTCCCTTAGCAAAACAGACAATGGCAAACGACCAAGACTGGTTAAATATTTCTGCTGCCTGCCCTAACATTCTCTGCCCTTAGTTTTGGGACTGGCAGTAGCTCAAAAACTCATAATTTTATCATTTATGAAGAAATACACAGTAAATACAAATGAAGAATAATAAATATATAGGGATGCTGGTTTTTTCTTCTAAATCCTGAGTGAAGTAAATTTATGCACATTTTGCATACAGCAAAAATACACTTTTTATGCATAAATGATATTCACTTTTCACCATGTATTTTACTAGTAGGAAGAATCTTGCAATGTAACAGAAAACAAACTCTTTCCTAAGGAAAACTAACATATGCACTATTTTTGAGTCATGTAAAGAATACCAGAGCAGAGAAATTGTTCAAAGAGAAGACTCTTTCTCTGGCAGAGAACTGACCAGACAGTAAAAATTAAATATACTGATGATCTTAAAAATTCTCCAATTATGGGTGCATGTCTGAGCTTTGCCCACAGTGTTTACACAACCTCCAATGAACATCCTGAACTACAGCCAATATTCACTAGAACCAACTACTGCATAAACAACTGTGAAAAAAATATACAGGAAAAGCTTTTTCAAGTTTGTAGCCTCAACTGCATACAGTGGGAATTGATAGAGCTTTTGCAATACAAATAGTGCCCCAAATCAGTTCTCCACACAGAGAAAGTTTCCAGTGATAAGGGACACATGTAAGGCACGTTCTTTTAAAAACCTGACTCCCATGAAGCAGGTCATTGTTCATAAAGGGAATGGTGTTTACACAGGAAAAAGTCTACTTTCAACAAATCTAAAATCCAACAGATGTTTCCTTCCATCTAAGCAAAACAAGTTTGTGACCCATTTCTGCCCAATCAGAAAATTTCAAAATTATTTCTGCAGGGAAAAAAACCCTCCATATTTGACAGAATGATCTTGGAAAACAAATTCAATAAAACTTGTATTTCAAAATAGCAACTATTACTAAAGTGAACTAACTTTAAAAAAAATAATCAGTGCTCTTTAAAGAGAATGTCTTATGATCTGGATTTGAAGACATACAAGATGATAATTTTGGTTTGTGAAAGAGAAAGTAGGGCAGACTGTTAACTCACAAGTGCTCTGCATTGCAATTGCTCTCCTCAAATCAATTTACTCTCCCTTCTTCTCCTGCAACACCCCTCCAAAGCTCCTGACTGCTCTTGGTTTCTTCATGTTTCGTAAGACTTCTCTTCCTCTGCAAACAGCAACTAAATAACAGAAGTGGCTGAGCAGAGTATAAAAGTGGACCTTTTAATTCTATTTTACGGTATACATTAATCATACAGCAAGTCTAAGGACTGTGTAGAAGTGTAGAAGACAAAGAATTTCAGGCTTTGCCAAAGTTGTGCAGTTGCATACAGTGTGCTGTTATACACCTTACTTTGACTTACCATCAGGAGAAAGTTTCAGGACTTTCAAGATGTACCTGGTGGCATTACACCATTACAGAGCAAAGCTGGATCTGGTGACGTCCTGTTGCACAACTGAATGCTGCAAAGACAGCAGCTTCCAAGGAGTTTGTGCACTTTCTGTGCCCAACAATACTGAACTGAGATGGATTACAGGTTGCTGAGGATTTTATCAATTTTTTATACCTTTTATAAAACGTAGCTGCAGAGGTCAAATAAATTATATTAACAGCTAGATGCAAACATTAAAGCCGAAGTTAAAGTAGTCTTAAAATGAGTATGACAAGTGTAATAAGTGCATGCAACTCTCTGTGCCACCTGTACCTCCACGAGTCCCTTCTTCGCTGGATTTTACTCCAGTTATTTCTTGTTCAGATATTTTGTGAGTGTTATACAAAGTTCCCACCTCTGTATTGTATGTGCAGCACCTTCAGCACTGAGGTTCCTAAACCCAGCTGAAGCCTCTGCATGCCCTGAGATGAATATAAGAAGGCAGAACTGAAATCTGCCAGCCATGCAATGCACCATTATTACACCCAACACGATTATCAGCAATGCAAAGGAGACCCACTGAGATGCAATTCAAATCTGCCTATCAAACAATTATGGCAGAAAGTAGAAGCGGTTTTCTCTCTCCCCCAGTAATCCTATTTGTCCTTTAAATAGATCTTAAGCATAATCTTGAACTGTCAGCATTTCTGTAAAGAAATACCAGCTCAGACCTAATTGGATTTGTCAGACAACCACAGCCCAACAGTTCTCTGAGATCTAACAGCTGAACAGCTGTGGGAAAAGCTTTCACATTATAACATAAGAATTTGAGTTCATTTCAAGAGGGAATATTTCCTCTGAAATTAAGTGATAAAAAGACACAATTTGTTGCACAGAACCCTGTGCCTTAGCAATATCTTGATGTGGTGTAGCATAGCCGAGATTATGTGAGCTACCCCATAGAGAAAATTAACTGCAGTTAACTGTTAAACACTTTGGGCTGCTCTGAATGCAGGGAAATGGGGGTAAAGCAAATCACCGAGAATTGTGACTTGAACATATAACAGAAGCATTTGAAAAGAAAACAAGTATATATTATATCACATATTAAAGAAATAGATAGCAGAATATGTATTTTAGCTGAAGAGCAGAAATACCTCCTATTCCTCTGGACTTTTTGGGTCACCAACATATATAAACAAACACACAAAAACCTGCTCTCTGTATCTTCAGCCTCCCGTTCTGTTCAGGCTTCTGTGGGATGGAATAATGCATTTTAAAGACAATCTGGGGATAATGGCCAAAAGGCCACACTATCCTCATCCTTTGAAGTGATGGAGAGGTTGCATGTTAAGTCAGTACAATAAGCCAGATCTTAAAATGCTTCCAATGCCTACAAATTGTGGTTTCTTTAATGAAGATCTGGATTATTTCATACCTATCTGGATGCAGAAGAAAAGTTCTTATACAGATTTTATGTTGAAAATTGAAGTGATGTTCATTTCCCTAATTTTAAAATAATAGTCATACAGGTTTTAACATTTGCATTTAGAAGAATATCATCTTAAGGATGCAACAATGTTATTTTGTGTATTTGCAGAGTTAGTAACTCTGTATGTGACTGAGGAACATAAGCAAACTTTGCACTGAATTCCAACCCATGCCTTGACCTGGGGCAAAAGTGAATTAATCTTTTGAGTCTATCATTATTAATAGTCAGGAGTTACACATTTACTTACCTGTTGGCTTATCCACACCAAGGAATCCAGCCTGTCCCAGGATTTTAAACACTTTATGTGCTGGGAACTGTCCTTCTTCTTCCCACTTATCCACAAAGGGATTAATCTCCTTGTCAATGATCTAGATTTGGAAAAAAAAATTTGCACAAGTTATAAACACAGGCATCCTGCACAACAACTTTTGACTACTTTCACCTAAAAACTGCAATTCAAAAAGAAAAAGGAAATATATATTGAGAAAAGCCCACTAATTTTCTTACTTCCTGATGGATATCCTTATTTTCCACTCACCCACAGCTATTACAACAAATGTAATCAGGCAAATGTAAATAATTATTTTAACAATTACTACTAGAACAGGTCATCAGGGCAAATTTAAGCCTCTCCAAGGTCTATGAAAATGGCTCTTTCCCTCATCCTTTGTTACCTTTTTGGGTACAGTTTCTTTAAAGTGACAGGAAAGGAAATCTGGATTATCCTTAAAATAACCTTGGCAAAAAAGGTTGATCTGTTCTTGATGACCATACACATTTCCAAGAAAGTCAAGTAGAAGAGAATAATTTCCTCTCCCTCTGCCTGAAACACTCTGCAGGAAGTTGGTGCTGTTTGGAGCATGTCTGTATTTAGACTTCCCCAGAAGTCTGACAGAATAAGTACTGGAAAAGTATGACCTTCTTCCAGAATTGATAATATTCCAAATCTAGTCCCTGAGCAGCTCTTGTCTGTGCTACTGCTAGGGGTGCACACCTTCCAAAAGTCAGTGTCCTGAGCTGCCTGACTACAGTCCTTACACTGTTCAGGCTGCAGCGCGCCCTTCCCTTCCCTTTGCAAGCAAAACACATCTGCAGTACAGCCACTACATTCAGCAACTCTTTCAGGTTTCAGGGCACAAGAGTTGGATGTTTCACTCCACAAAGTCCCAGATTTCCATGGCTATGGGAAAGGAGCAAAGAGGGCGGCCTGCAGGTGTGCTCTTGCTGCCCATCATGAGGCGGCTGGGTTGTGCCCACCTCCACCCAGCTCTGCAGCCCAAAGCAGGCCTCGGCACAGGCTGCTCCTGCAGCCAAGGGCACCACACACCTCGGTCAGCCTCACAAGGGGGTCCAAATAGGAAACATCCTCCCCCCAAACTAAACCCTACCAAAACAAACACCAGTTCCCAAGAGAAAGGTAATGCCTTTAACCTGGGACCATGATTTAACTACTATGCTGTTTCATGAAGAGAGAACTTGTTATTTCAAGAATTTACTCCTCTTAGTCTTCTTTCCCCACTAAATAAACAAGTCCTGTGGTGCTAACTATTTCTTGAGCTGGAAATAGAATCCTCTCCCTCCATGACTGCTGTGTTCTTGAGACCCTCCGAAACCTTCTTCCAAACTATGTATTTATTGCACATTCTTTGGAGAATTTCAGCCCATATATGGCTGCTTTCTGTCTTCCAGCTGGCCACAGAAATAAGCATACTTGAATGCTGGTAACAGGAAAATCACTTTTTCACTTCTCTCACCAAATTCTGAGAAATTCATATACTGAATGTTCAACTCATTCAGTAATTATCATCTCTCTCTCACTGTTATATTGATTAACACAGGCCTAATGATCAGTAGTAAAAAAATACTTGGCAGAACCCTATCTAGGAGAGCTCACATTTCTCTTCAGTATTACCATGTCCCATATGCTCAGACCCTAAGATGCTGACCCTCAGTGTTGAAGGTGGTTACACCTTTTTGGCTGTTGTCTGGTAATGCTCATTGGACTGAAACACCCAGGGAAAGAGCATACAAAAAGTTATTCAAGTATTTTGATGGATCTTGGCAAAAATATGTGGTGAACATGCTACCATAGTTTTGTTTGTTGTAGCTGGTACTGGGCCAAGTTTTTTTGTAGCCTACATACAAAGCTACCTTTGAAGTTAAGCACATTCTCAATGACTAAGCCATGATTTCTGCAGGTTTGCTCCTGTGCCTTTGAGCAAAATTCAAATTGCTTAACAGAACTGATTTATTACCAGGTGAGTTTGCCACATTGAGTAAAACAAGATCTTCCTTGCATGATACAATTAAACCCCCAAAGACAACCTCATTGCATAAACCACAAATTGTGTATGGCCTTAATTTTTTTTTTTAATCAAAGTCCAGATATTAATAGCCACAGTTTCTTCTTAGCTACTGGACCATTCACTGTGGTTTTATGGAACACCTTTCCTTGTACAACCTCATAAAAACATAAGCCAAATTCCTGAAGAACTACAGTACTCCTCAACTGGCTGGTGCTTCAGCACTGATTACTGGGTATTGTCATCCCTTCCTAGAAAAGCTAATTGAAACAAGGAGAGGTATTTTTAAAGAGTCAAGCCAGCAGTGACAGAATGATCACAAAATTAAATGTTTAAAACCTTGCTGCAGACAGGTCAAATAACGCTTTGTACTTTAACCATCTGATTTGTCCCCTCCCTTGGCTTTAGCTATTTCCTCACATTTGTGCCCTCAGAAAAATACTTTACACTTGAACTTCAGGCAAATATTATGTAGGGATCTTAACTTAAACCCTAATGTATCCATGCAGTGTTTGGCAATTGCACAGAAGCAAGCTTTCAGCAGTATGTGAGCATCTGGTCTGCTTATTTATATGTGCTTTATCATGAGAAACATTGAAATCATGAGTGCCAGCATTTAGACTTCCATTGCCAGCATACCAACTATAACAAGATCTAAAACTTTTAACAGTAGAAATATTTAGCACAGCATACTACAGATGTCATCTGACAGATATTGCCAGCCACAAAAGAAATCTTTCCACCTGATCTAGCTAGCCAAATCTCAATGGCATTTGGGATGTAAAGTTGATTAAGGAGCCATATAACTATCTCACCTGCTGAAGTACCAGTATACCAAAACAAAAAATGTTCTTTTCCTGACAGCAAGGGCACAGTACATCTTATGTGAACTGTGTGTTGGAACAGTCTGTATGGAACTGGTGTTTTTCTCAGGCTACTTCATCTGAACAATAGAGATGCAAACCTAAAGGACCAGGCTCTGGAGGCAGCCTTGGTTTAGCCTGCATCCCAGCATGAGCTCAGGCTGCTCTCTGGGGAGCCTCCAAAAATGCCCTCAGGGCTCTTATCAGCTGTGAATTATTAAAAACACTCTGGATACTTGCCAGAGTGGAAATGGATCAAGCCAACAAATTTACTTCATGTTGAATGATGGTATGAAAAATAAGTGTTTTCATTAGAAACTGTCTTGACAAAGTTTTGTGAAAACAGCACCTGTAGCTTCCTGCCCAGGTCTGGGGAAATGTCATGGCAGGGTTGGAGAGGGGACAGAGACATAAATTCAGATTTTTTTAGAAACAGGTAATTTTAGTTTTTCTTCGGAAAAAAAGCAATGAAAATATCCCCCCAAATCACTGCCACAGTTTTGACTATTTTCACTGAAACTTAGTACGTTATTTAAATGAGAAAAGTAACAAAAATACATTATGCTGATGCTGTGTTTTTTGCTGATATTGTAGTTGTATCAGCAACCACCCAGAAATATTAGAAATGCCATTTAATTTTGAATTCTAAAAGAAATGCATTCTACAACAGTAGAAACTGTACCTTAATTAATTTGGGTACTGAGAGTATGTACAGATGACTTCTACAGCAATTAAAGATTATTTTTCATTATTCACCAGCATGTTTACCTCCTATCATGCAATTCAGAAATTAAAGACCACACCAGTTCTACACACAATATCTCTTCTAAGTACCCCTTGTAAGACTGCACAATGTACAGTTTCAGCACAGTATTAGCAAGATGATGAATTTTGAAACAAGAAACTGAATTCTTAAAAAAAATTACACAAATTTTTACTACAGCTTCCTGTGAGTTACACCTCAGCTGAGATTAGACTAATTTATTAGAGAAGCAAGAGAAAATGTCTAAGAAAAAGGTATTTTGGATTAAGAAGATTAAATGGAGTTTGTGGAGCCAGGATTAGATTAGATGTTAGGAAGAAATTCTTTACTCAGAGGGTGGTAAAACATTGGAACAGATTGCCCAGAGAAGTTGTGGATGCCTTGTCCCTGGAAGAGTTCAAGGTCAGGTAGAAAGGGGCCTTGAGAAAGCTGATCTGGTGTCCAACATCCCTGCCCAGAGTACGGGGCCTCCAAGTAGATGACTTTTAAGGTCCTATCCAACCCAAACCATTGTATGATTCTATGATTTTATGACATAACTGTTCCATATTATGTTAGGAGCAGAATTTTTTCCCATTTAAATCAAGTTACAGTAATTGAACTTAGCTCTATTGCTATAATAATCAAACAAGACACAGTTAATAGGATCTTTAATGTAAAAAGTAAATAAATAAACAACAAACCACTAATGACAGTTCTTGAGTGGTTATACGTAGATATTAGTGCAACAATGACTCAAACAAGAGGAAATAGACCAGAGATTTCTTTGCTTTCTATATCACCAATAAATAAAGCAAATAATTAATAGCCTTCAAAACTACATTTTCCCTTCAGTTTTAATCTAAACCACAAGGAGTAATGACTGCACTGTGAGACAACTCAGCATTGTAGCAACACTGTGCTGAGGTCAAGGTAGTACTTTAGAAAGATGGTAAGGCAAAAAAAAAAAAAA